CTGGGATGTGCAGGTGGTGCAATAGATAAAGTCACAGAATAAGAAATTAAATAGTCTAATTCCAAATCCAGCCGGTTTTGTTATATTCACTTAAGTTCAAATATCCTTTGGAAAGGTATGAATCTACCTTTTCTCCTCCCCGTTATGGGTTAAAGAGTAAAACTGGTATCAGCAAATCATTATTATCTCACCCAAATTCTTAAAATTCAAAAACATGCATCGGCTTTAAATAATCTCAGAAAGGTTAATAAGCCTTAGAACTCTCAATCAAACAAGAGTTTACTCTGATTATTGGCTAAAAATGGCTTCGATTGAATTAATCCTGTAGATTTTATCGATGAATACCCTTCTTCGAACCTCGTGGACTGGCGCTACAGAATCCCAATCAAAGAACTATACCAAATAACAGATACCACATCACATGACGATGAAACAGTAGCAACAATTAAAATTGATAGCACATTTAACTCGAAGAGAAAATAATGATATAATCAACATGTTGACATTCCACACGACTACAAACAAAATGTTAGAAAGAAAACCGCCATCAGTACTAGAAAGAGTGATAACAGCTACTGGACAGAAGAATCTTATTTTCCTGAAAAATAATTTTAAAAGAATGATTTATTAATTTTCAATCGGGAGTAGCACTGACTGCTTGGTCAATGAATACCGAATGTTTCCTTTTAAGGAAACCGCTAATATAATATTACCGTTATCAGTTTAATGTGGGGATCCTGAGCTTGTACACCCGGGCCAGGTCAAAAAAATAGCCTGGTCACAAGAGCCGTCAGTTTTACTGGCATTAGTATTACTACCGATCCACCGTCTTTAATGCAATGAGGGAGGTACAGCCGTGGGTAGCTGTTCTTTGAGAACGGGCACTTCTCAATAATACAATTTTTAATCATTTCACCCCAGGCAAAGCGGAGATACCACTAGTAAGAAGGGGTTACAGAGAGTGAAGGTGAGAGAACAGATTTGCTATAGGGGTACCGAGGAAAGGATAAAAGCTGAACGGATTTCAAAAAGATAAAAGAGCGATTTACGTTGCATTTAAATGTTTGAAGGTTGTAGCTAAGAAAACGAAATGGAAAAGATTGTAGCAAGAAAACGGAAGGAAATTCCACAGGAAGGATGTGCGAGAAAAGAAACTGTTGGAGTAGAGGTGTCGGTTACATTTAACTAATTCCGCAGTAAAAGGGTGGGACCAAATGCCAATGCAGGAGCACGCTTAAAAACACTTAGTCCGGGAACCAGGGAAAAAAATTTCGTCAGAGCAGTAGACATGAAAATATTTGTAGAAAAGACAGAGGGAAGTCACGTCACGTTGGTGAGAAAGTGACTGAAGTCGAGATGAGAAGTCTGGATCAATTACATTGCAGATCCTTCTTTGGATTTTTACAAGAACTTCGAGATGACTAACGAGTACCAGAGCAGATATGGCAACAGTATCCAAAGCACGGACGAATATTTTCAGTAGCTCTGAATGAAACATATGTGCAAAAGTCCTTAACTATATCAAAAATTTAAAGACATGCTTTACTGTTTTACGCCTGAAGTTCCAATACAGATATTTCAATGTTTGGATGTCAATCTGAGGACAATGCAGAGGATTCGGAAAGAGTTGGATGAGTCTAATAGTGATTCCGAAGGTGTTTGGTGTGATCACTGGTGATGGCAACGTTATGCCACCATTCATTTTCCCACAGGACCTCAGACAAAGATGCAACTGCGAAATAAAATTTTCCGCCCAAAGGCAGATACTACACTTTGATCACACTGCGAGGTCCAAGGAGTTAGGGAAATATTAAGGTTAATATTAGAATTTTTTCCCACCCTGTCTTGGAGGCATAATGGCAAGATAAGATAAATATAAGTGAATAAATAAGTCGTGTATTCTAGGTCATTTGAAGAAGCAGATGAACTTCACAAGGACGAATTATTAACTGACACATTATATAGGGTACGATGGATAAATTTTCGCCATTTATATTTTTGATTTCGCGCATGCGCGTTGTTTGTTTTTGATTTTGTTAATATAGTAGGCGCAGTATAGAAGGCGTAGTTTGGGGACCGTCTGTGAGAAAAAGAGCACCATGACGCAATTAAGTATGTCAGAAATTTGGAAAAGACATGCTTCACTGTTTTACGCCTGAAGTTCCAGCACAAATATTTCAGTGCTTGGATGTCAATCTGAGGACAATGCAGTGGATATGGAAAGAGTTGGATGAGTCTAATGGTGATTCCGAAGGTGTTTGGTATGATCACTAGTGATGGCGACGTTATGCCATCATTTATTTTCCCACAGGACCTCAGACTCAATACGGTGTCCTACATCAAATGCCTTGAGGAGATAGTGCTGCCCTGGGTCAAGATGGTGGCTGCTAGAAGGCCCTATGTCTGGCAAACATATGCCATGCCACACAAACAGGAGAACCCAGTCATGGCTGTTAGACAATTTATGAAAACCTTTTGGAGGACCGTTTGAGTAGATTGGATTAAGAAACCTAAAAAGTATTTTTAATTGTATCCCACATGCAATTTGAAGCGCTGATTTTATCAAAACTTGTGACCTTACAGCACAGACATTACAGTGACGGTCTAGGACAGTTGCATAATAACCATTTGCATCCCCGGTAATTACGTACCAGACAAAAGCCCCCCTGCATATTTGCGTCCCGGGCAATTGCGTACCAGTCAAACGCCTACTTGGACATTTGCGTTCCGGGCAATTGCGGTCCAGATAAAGCCACCCTGGACATTTGCGTCTAGGTCAATTGCGTACCAGACAAAAGCTTCCCTAGACATTTGCGTTCCGGGCAATAGACAATGCCTCCCTGGACATTCGCGTCCCGGGCAATTGTGTACTAAACAAAAGCCTCCTTGGACATTTGCATCGCGGCCAATTGCATACCAGACTAAAGACTCACTTGAAATTTGCGTCCCGGGCAATTGCGTAATTGAAACTTAGCCATAGGTTTGTAAATAAAAATTGTTCACCATGTTTGCCGCAGTCTCTGAATATGGAATTCAGTGAAGTCCGTAATCTGTTCAATATCCGAGGTTGGCAGTGAAGATTCAGAGAAAGTAGCGGTTGCTAAGTAACTCTTTAAGTCTTCGATATCAGGTTGGCAGTGCAGACAATTTGGGAGAAAAAAAATGGCTGCCTTTATACACGTTGCATTGAATATTTTCAGCTTTCTGATTGGTTAACCCTTCTATTGGTGAACTATAAAATGAGTCACCTCGTTTAGGCTAGCTCACTAGTACATACCCAAAAAAACTGCAACAAAAATGTAATCTATAAAATTCAGAATCAATTAGATGTTTGTAGTACGCACTGCTGGAGTGAACTGGAACTGCCAGCTTAAATTTCTCTTGCTTTAAAAAAGAAATTTTTCTCTCTTCTTTTATTAATGATAACTACCTTTCTGTTTGTTTAGAGTAATTAAATATATTGGTGTACAGATTTCTATATTAAACAATTCTTTAAAAAAAATGGCACTTAAAAAATTATCAGAGGTACGCAATTATCCAGGGACGCATTTGTCTAGGGACGCAATTGTCTGGTAAGTAATTGTCCGGGACACAAATGTCCAACACGCAAATGTCCGTCCACCGAATGTGATACATATGCCTGGTGTAGCTTTCTCAGACTGCGTGTCATGATGGGTATCTTGGGCTTTGAATATCTATACTTTTCATGATTTTTGTTGGCGGGCAGCTGTCTCAGGCAATAATAATAATGATAATGATTTCCTCAATATTAACAAAGAAACATTATGAAATATGATACAGACACAATATGTAGAGTATATGATGTTGTGCCGTCAAAGAAGGGCCTGGTATGATTGGGTAATATAATTATTTGGAACATATGTCGGAATTACTGTGTGCCACACGCTGAAAACTGGTATGAGCGTCAACATGAAGAATTGACAGAAGGCCATGAAATCACTATTTTATAAGACTTTGTAAAAAGAAAAATTTAACCTAAGAACTTCTGTTCTTAAATATCCTCATCAGATCTAGATTTCCCTGTGCTTGTCGTACATGGTGTCTAACTTTCAGAAATATCTAAACTATCACCTATATACAACAATCTTACTCCAGCGATTAATTAAAATGGCAACAATCAAATCAATCCCATACAAGACAAGAGAATCTTATATCAGCTCAAAGAAATTTACCAAATAAGATCCGACAACAACAACGACTGAACAGACAACACAAGTAAAAATAATTATATGATCATTCATTTCCAGCGTAGTCTAAAGTTTGTCAAACGTACCTTCTCGGGGTATCTACGTCATATTATAATTACTATAGTAATATATATATATATATATATATATATATATATATATATATATTAACAGTGTTAGATTGGCAGCAACGTCTCATTATTTTACAGTTGAAATTTCTAGATAACCGTAAGTTCTATGTTAACGCTTTCTTCTATTCGCACTTCTCGCTTGTGGAACTCTCTTCCTGCCTCTTGCTTTCCAGTCAACATCGATCTTCAAATAAATAAATAAATGAAACATCAATCGTTATCTTCTGTCTTCTTAATCCCTGTTCTTTTATTGTTCACTCTCCTTCATAATATTTTTTTCTTTTTCTCATATTCTTTCACACTCAGTAACCACCTTGCGTCTTAGTGGATTTATTTCCTTGCCTGGGGGTGCAATGATTAAAAAAGAAAATTCTGCTTCTAACTCAGTCAGTTATCATGTAAGTTTCGCCCTACCAATACTTAATCGATAAGGGACTATTCCCTTTTGACTGCGTGAGATGACGAAAAAGACATATCACAGTTGCTGTTTGGTTTCAGGAAGAAAAAGAAAGAAAGAAAGAAAGAAACAAAGGTAGGAAGGAAGGAAGGAAGGAAGGAAGGAAGAAAGAAAGAAAGAAAGAAAGAAAGAAATGGAAGATAGAGGTGGCGGTAGCGCTCTCATCCATTTATGGTGTGTTTCAGAAAAAAATGAAAAAATCAT